GAAAGAAAAGAGGTTACATAAGCCATGTTTTGTATGATCTGTCTTTGATGCTTTTCTTTTATTAGAAGCAAGAGATAACTTGATGTTTGAATATATTTGTTTTCGAACTATATTACAAGAATATCTTTATCTTTATTCTAAAATAATTTATTGATACATATATTACTAACTAATAATTAAAAAGAGAAAATGCATGTCTTAATCTTATGCAACTCTAATAATCTATTACTAAAGCTATGATTATGGATCATAAACATTATTAAGTCATCATCATTTTATTAATATTTAATAAAACGACGCTTGAAATTAAAAATATTGGATAAATATCAATTTTCTTCTTTGTATATTTTCTTTATATTTTCCTTTTTTAAATTATTTTTTCCAAAAAAGCCTATACAACCTTTCTGTTTTGAATAGTTTAGTCCTTAATTTTTTAAAAATAAAAAAACCATTAAACTTTATCATTTTGAATGATTAAGTCGTTGAATTTTATAACTAATGAAAAAATCATTAGATTTTCTTATTCTGAATGATTTAAATTCTGATTTTTTTTTTTATAAATAAGTCATCAAACTTTTGCTAATCGGTTATATGTAACTTTTTTGAGTTAGAAATATGATGGTTTATTAATTAAAAAAATGTTTATAGACTTATTCATTCAAAATAAGAAAGTCTAATGGTTTTTTTATTTAAAAAAAATTCAGAGAGTTAAATATTTAAAATGAAAAAAAAATTCAATGCTTTTTCATTAAAAAAGGTTTAAAGACTAAATCATTTAAACTAAAAAATTAATCGATCTTTTTTAAACTTTTCCCTTTTTTACCAAAAAGAAGGAGATGAATTAATTGTATTAAAAGTTATTCCTTGTAATAATATTAAAAAATTAAATATTTTATATAACTAGCATTTTTTTTAACACCTAGGTTTGAACTTGTCTTTAGTCTCACCAACAGGACCATCACCATTCACCAGGACCTGGGTCCAAGGTAGTTTCGGATCCTCAACCTGGACTTGGAGGGTTGGAGCTATTCATGTGTCCTGAAAGTTATTGCAATTTATAGAGTCGCCCCAAAAAATTTAAAGTTATGATTTTTCACCCCTTAATATTTAAAACAGGATTCAAATCATTATCTCTAATTAACAAAGTTTTAACGGTTAAAAAAACTAATACAAGAATTAACTGCTTACTTAATTAAGCCATAAACCCTCCTCCATGAGCATCCATCAAAAATCCCCAACAACATCATAGATTCATACACATGATCATGATTCACTTGTGAATCTTGCAATACCAACTCCCGACATAAGACTGCATTGCACCACCTGCTGAAGAGCCAATGGGTCGGGTTATCGTAAACCATACCACCCTCAGAAACCAGATAACCAAACCACCTAAGACCATGGTTCATCAAATGCTGGTAAACCACTTGAACTTGATCAAGACTTGGGTACAAAGCCACATGGTGAATAAACGGGAATGGCATTGGCATCTGCACGTTGATGTTTTTCTTCTTGAGTTCGAGCTGGCCTCTCACAATAGTCTCCTCGTTTTCCAATCCGATAGAAAATCTCTCTATTTCCCCTCCGATAAACCATTAAGCTCATCGAACCAAGTTGAGTACTTGGATTCCATGTTTCTTTTCTGGGCCTTGACAAGCTCGTCTTCAATCTTTTTCTTTCGGTCCTGAAAGAAGTCCTTGAGGTCGTAAGTTCTCTTCCTAGCTTCACTTTTTTCACTTTGTAAGAGGCGATCGTATACTTGATTTGATTGGGGTTTTCCGGCCAAATCTCGGGCTGGTTATAGTAGATGATGATAATGGTATCAACATCACAAAGAACCGTGAATTCAATAGCTTTCTTTATGATCCCATGTTTCCTTTTTTGGTAAGTCGTGTTTCGGGTCTTCTCTTTCGTTATGAGTTCTATCCTTAGCTTAATTCGCACGCCAAACTGTAATAGGGTTGGATTCCAGTAAGAATGAAAGTTAAGGTAACCAGGAAGGGATCTCAATTTGTAGATGCACCTAGATAAGATATACACTGAGATGCACATGATCAATCCTCGTATCAAACGTTATTCATGAGTGAGTTTAAGATTAAAAGTAATTAAGGGTCCAGATCCATTCTTATGTTTCTCACTTTAATTGTTTTTAACACAAATTCTTAAAGAGACTATGATCTCCTAATTGATTACAAGACAATATATATATGGTTTGGGTCGATTTGATTTGAGCGAGATTCATGTGAATCGCCTGATTTGTTTCTATCCTTTGAGATTTCAAGATTGACCCTTAGCTTCCCAAATTTCCAGTTTACCCCCTTTGAACTAATTACGCTAAAGTTATCAATTAATAAGTGTATTTTCAAGGATATAATTATTATAATTAAGTACTAGAAGTGTACTCGCGTAATACAACAAGATATATCTCGATTTTAATATTTCGTTTTTATTCCGTCTCTATAGATGTTTTAATACGGTTTTATGTGGTTTTGAGAAAAGAATAACGATTTTATTTTTGAATAAAATATAAATTTGAAGATATCATAAAAATTCGAAAATAAATATATCAATATTAGTATCAAATTAACTATTTAAAAGTTATTGCTTTTGTATAATTTTTGTAATTCAATCTTTTTATTATAATTTAATTTAGATTTAATAACGAAGTATTTTATTTTTGATTTAATAATTTTTTTATAAGAATAATATTAAGTAATATGTTAGAACTCAATGATTATCCTAATTATATTTTAGATTTTTTATATTTAAAATGAAAATGTTTATCTTGTATTTGACGATGTTTATCTGCAGTTAGTTACACGAATTCAAACATGAAGTTTTAATAAGTTGTACTTATGCACAGTTTATTTGTAATCTTGAATTTTAAGTATATGCATTAATAAACAGTACTTCATGCAAAAAAAAATGGTTTTAAGAGTTTTTGTCAAATGCTTTATAATATAGTATAGATAAATCAGTAAGAATATTATAATTTTAATTTCATAGTTTACCACCCCTTGATTGAATAAACTCATATCAAATAACTAGATATGATTGTGTGAAATAAACAAGTTTTATTGCTTTGTCATCTCCCCTGTATCAAAAGCACCCTTCACTCCAACAAAGTTGAGTTTATAGGAAGCCAAAAGTGTTTAAGTATCCTAATAGACCGGTTCATAGGATTTAATTTTATATAAACAAACCTTTGTGTATTATCACAAGGTGTTATAATAAGTTTATAAGACGCTTTTGAGTGTTTTAACAAGTTTTTTAAGACATTTTTTTATTAAAACATCTCTAAGAAGTCTTCTGTACACACATCTTTTTTATAGGACGTTGGATTTATAAGACACTTTTTCAAATAATGTTATATAAAATAGCTAATAGGACACTTTAATGCAAAACGTGTCCAAAAAAGCTTTTTGGGCGTCATATAAACTTACTACAACTTTAAATAGAATACACTCCTATAAACTCAACTCCTTTAATATAGTCTATTAGGACACCCGGACATTTTATGCGTCCTATAAACCTGATTCTTTTTGTAGCACTTATAGTTTTTATACTTTTGATTTGAAATTGAAGAAGGGTTAATAATATGAAATAATACAAACTGAAAATTTGGTGCCTACGTATCAAGAAGGATAATACATTTACTCTGTCACTCCCATTTAAAAAGATGCTATGTTTCTTATATCACTCTTAGCTTACTGTAAATGAACGCAAGCGATATAATTTTTCTTTATCTTTGGTATCACCTCTGTATATCTTTTTTTTTAACTTTAATACTTCTAAACAGTAAGATGTAAAGTATTATTATAAAATGTCTTATAATTATTTGTAACATCCCATTCTACACATTGCGTGTAACACATACTTCATACATAAGAAATACATGTTTATACACCACATTGGTCCCTTAATACAAGAATCTACTAGTACAAAATACATGGTCCAAAAATTCAAAATACAAATTCTTGTATTAATCCACGTTCATCTACCAAAACTATACATATCATCTTCCATTCTTCATGTAGATAAACATATAAGAAAATTAATACATTTTTCCCTTCCCTTTTCTGTCAACACTTCTTGCAATACATATTTAAAATCACAAAACGAGGGTTAGATCGAAAGGTCTAGTGAGTTACCCTATTTATGTTCTTGCAGGGTGAAAATTACCAAAACTTTTATATAAAACAACTTTTAAACTGGTTAAGACATTATCGGTTTAGAGCTAAACCGCTTAACACTCGAGCGGTTTATACATAAATCGCTCAATTCACATCCGGTTTATTCTAATCCGGACAATGCACCAGGCGGTTTATTTTTAAGTCGCTCGTGCCTTGACCGATGTAGGGCTTAAATCGCTCAACTTCCATCCGGTTTAAGACTAATCCGAACATCATTCACCAGGCGATTTATCTATAACTCGCCCATACCTTGTGCGGTTTATGGTATAAGTCGCCCAACCCTTGTCCGGTTTAAGACTAAACCTCCTGACTCTTGGCCGATTTAAGTCTAATCCGAATAACACCTATATGGTTAATTTTCAAAGCATCGAATAACTTATATAGTCAATTATACAACTATGCAGAGTTTAAAAGCAGTTTAAACCACTCACCTTGAAAGCCTTTTAAAAATCAGTCACTTGAAAACCAACTTGTAATCCGGTCACCAAAAACAATCCGATCAACACTCTTCTTAAATCGCTCAATTAAGGTCTCAAAAATAGCAAGAGATTACAATGTAGGTTCAACCTCCCTTTTATACCTTTCCTAAACAGGAAGGCGGCTACTACAACCTTCTTCACATGCATGCATTCACATTACCATAACCCATGCATACACATTCATCCCTTTCAAATACCCAATTCATGCATGCATGTAAAATCATATACATATACACACCTATGCATGTATTTCATCATATATATATATATATATATATATATATATATAATTATACCCACATATACACATAATCTCATACATGCATCTATATTATGCATATAATTCACATACTAACATGATCAAATATAACAATTTATCATGTTGTCACATAATTATTTAACAAATAATTATGTATTAGTTACCTCGGGTGATAATCAGGATCCGGTTATCACATTATTTAACATCATTTTGATCCAAGTTATAAATTAAAAGTTATGACCCTTCAAATTTACTAAGAGAAAAGGATAACAAATTATAAAATAAATAAATCCAATTATCGTGTTGATTCGAATTACAGATCAAGAATTACAACTTTTCAAAGTATACTAAAAAAATGATCACAAAGTTGTAAACAATTTCATAACAATT